CAGCACATGCATGAAGGCATCCAACTCCCGGTGTATGTCCCCAACACGCCAACTCCGAGTACGCCGATGACTGGACCAGGGCCTGCGCCATTGTCCTTGATGGCAGCGATACCGCAGGGACCGTCGGTGGCAACACCATCGAGCCCCGACCCTGCATGGTCGGCTGCAATGGCTATGGCAATGGACATCTACTATCAATCGCAGAGTCAGAATCGCACGTGAGAGAATGCATGGCAAGATAATTTGTAATTCAAATGCACCTCAAAGCATGTGATGTGCCCTGGCTGAGTTCTCGGGCTCATTGTGGCTTCTTTGTCTCATTCTTCGTATGGCTGCCTGCGCCTTATATCATCAAGAACAGTTGTACTTCTTGTCCGTTATTTTCTTGCAGGTGGCGCGAAGCACGGCAGACATATGATGAAAGGGACACGTCCACTGTATCTTATCCAGGTCGAGCTTGTTTGTGCTGACCTTGCCTGATGCATGTCCGATCAAAAGCTGTCTTTGGAGCGACCTGTTGAAAGCTGCAAACCTACACCTTGGGAGATGGAAGGGCCCGCCACGAGTTTTAGCGTTGTGCGCCGTAATGGCAGCCAGGGGTCGGCAGCGCGAGCATGCTTGCAGCTAAGACCTCATACGCTAGGTGTGCCCCGTAGGGTATATAATTGATGCGGTTGTCGTTAAGCCATGTTCCGATTGATTGCTCCTCGCAGCAGTGCTGGCCCCAGGCGAGTGTTACCCCTGCCAGTTGTCATGGAGGACACGTTGGAGCCGCAAACATGGGCCCTGGAACCTCCGTCGCAACTACTAAATACCTTGATCTTCATCCTGCTCGTAGCGGCTGCAGCCAACGTGTTCAACCAATACAGAGCTGAAGTCAGGGAACTGTCGCGACTCCTCAAACAACACCACGAAGAAATCTCGCGAACGTTGAGACCGGTGATAGTACCAGATGCGGCGGTGTTCCCGGAATCGGTGAAGGCTCAGGTCCATCAAGCTGTGCAAGGTTTACGAAACCAAAGTCGAGATCATGGAGCTTTGATTCTTCGCGTACAGCATCAGTTGGAGGAGAGTTTCAGACATTTGGGTCGTAGAGTTTCTGCACTAGCGAGTGCTGTAAAGGAGATCGAACAGCTCTACGAATCCATCTGCGTATCTATACAGGATGTGATAGATCTTTGGGACCGGGTAATGAGCAAAGAAGAAAGCATTTATATGCATCATACGGCTTCTGTAGCACGGGGCCTCAGCGAACTATCACAAGAAGTACGTCGTCTTGCTCAAACCCAAACCCAACCCGGTAGGAGTGAAATCGCAGTTCTGGCACACCTCAGTGACATTCACCGTTTAGTTACTTCACATGATGCGTTGATCCACTCTGACATTCTGCCAGCCCTGCCATACATTGCTGATAATCTTCCATCCTCGCCGCACCGAGTGGAAACCTCACGAGAGTAGCGACGCTCATTTTGGAAGTTCACAAATGCACATGAATGTTAATTCGTAATTCAGCTGTAAATGGTGCATGCATGAAGGGTGGAAATGGTGTTGATGCAAAACGTGGAGCTTGCACTTTTTAGGGTCGTCAGTAAGGCTACTAGTAACTGAAGCCACTTCTGCTGGGCTCGACGTGGTGATTTGGGCCTTTGAGGGATACATATTACACCTACATTGTCCTTCTTCTGGCAGTTATATGTTGAAGACGCCTGTGCCGCAGCATAATCAATCAAGTGGTCACGACAGTATCACTAGTCGCAATGAACCAAAACCCAAACTTGACTCTCCCCAAGACCCCCAGCGAACTCAGATGCCAGTGCATATCGGCGCGCGAACTACAGGAGTCCCTGATTTTTTGGCCCCCGCATTTGTCATATGCAGCCTCCGCTAGATTGCAGACTAGGTTCCGGTATATGCGATCATTTCTGCCCATTTATACGGATGATTGTGTGCTTTGGCCCTTTTGGAATGCGGTGTGTGATGTCAATGTTAGTAATCTAGTCGCACACCAAGATGATAAACCGGAGACACTCAGTTTACTTGAGAATGAACAATTGTTTCAATGGGCGGAGAACACTGCTTTACGAGTGTACTGCTCATTAGACATGTACTCGGCGTGTTATACTGGTGGAACCTTCCGATCGCGTGGCCAACGGGACACCACAGGGAAATGCCTGAGAGATTGTATCTGTGGAGCTCGATTTCTGGTACACCTCCTCCCCCGCACTTGCATTACCCACAGTTGCACCCTCTTCATCGGGATGTTTTGTGCGTCCAAGGGGACCTTAGCTTGCTTCATGAAATTCATGGATATGAACCTTTTGCAAACCTGCCATAGTGGGCCATGATGCCATGACATGATCGCTTTGCTCAAGTATATTACAAGGGACAGTGAGTACTTAATCGAAGCTACAGGTCTAAGCAAGTCCCAATGAACTCCTCCGCACGCAGCGAGTCCTCTTTGCCTTCCTCACTTGACAGTTTGAGGGAACAGATACTGCAGTCTTTTGACCTGCGAAGTGGAAACAAGCAGAGGGTGAAGGTTGGGTATTGCAGGTGGGGCTCAATCCTCGGGATTTGAGTAAGATGTGCGTGGCCACTGCACCCCTACAACATCTTTGTGCCCAGATCTGCTCTTACATCGATCTTACATGCCCAGGGCATAAGTTTTCCACAGTGGTAATAAGGGATTCTGCAGGTAAAGATTTGCACAGGGATTTGAGGAATTCACATTACCCGCAAGCAGTGCTGAGTCTCAGCCACTTTGAAGGAGGGTCTATTTGGATTGAGTCGCCCAAGGGAGACGTCATTAAAGAATGCTATGGGGCCCAAGTAAGAGGTTGTCGGTGTGAACTATCTCCCTTTAAACCGTTACGATTCACCGGGAAGACGTTACTGCACTGCACCGAACCCTGGACCCAGCGGAGAGTTGTAATGGTAGCATTCACTGTAATGGGGGCGGCATCGACCCCTGCTTGTGTTCGAGAGTGTCTTGAGGCTGTTGGTTTTGATTTCCCGCATAGTTACGAGTGCGAGTTTCAGGCCGCTCAACCGCTGGGGCCAGGGCAGTTGTCTCAACGACATTTGACGTTTGGGACAGAGAAGAAGACAGGGATCTGGGAAGTCGGTAGGTAGGCTTAAGCATGATAAGCCATTGGTCGTGTCTGTTTCTGACAGCGACGATGAGCTCCCAGATACTTGCCTGGACTCTTTGACTCCCACCCCTCATAGGTTGGAGTCGCAAGAAACTGTCATCATGTCAGGTGCGGTAATGGGGGCCTAGGTATGCTTTCAGCATTGCTCCAACCGTCGTGTTGTGTGTAAGACGCAACTGAGCCACAGGCTCTGTCTGTTTTAAAGAGCAGTCGGTTGAAGCCATTATCTTGTAGACTAACATAGTTGATAGTGCTATCCGTTTGTTGTTTCCTGCTTCTGTAGTCCTCGCCCTCTCTCTTCTCCCCATCCTCCCTAGAGCCCTACAATACCCACATCTTTTCAGCATGTTTTAGCCTTGTGGTGTCGTTGGTTTAAATAAGGGTAGCATTTGCGGGTTGTCTAGTGACTTTCCTTGGTGGAACATTGGGACCATGTATAGGCATTGAGTGCACCCTAGAAACCACTAACCCTCGCCGCTGCTGTCGCCATGGAGGATGCTTTGAGGGTAGCCCACGGAAATGGTGCATGGCGATGGGGCTGGGAGTTCCGGGCACAATAAAACAGCTGGACAAGAGGTCAAGAGAGCGAGCTGACTGACTGCATGAATGAAAGAATGCAACAGAACGCATTGGTGGGAATTTACGAGGCGAATTTGTGGGAATTCATGACTCTTGGCAAGGGCACTATGACAGGTTTTCCGTATGAAGATGCTGTTCATGGGCGGCCGGATACCAGCGGCCTTATTGCATGCTGCATGGACGGTTTATTTGCCACCTGCGTGACTGCATGTTTGTGCGACTGAGTCTTTGCGCAGCTTGGACGGCTCCTGAGTGATCCTCCTTTATGGGCGGAAACTCTGCAGACTGCATGAGTGCGCAATGCAACGCGAGATGGTTATGCCAAGAATCGTTTCTGCTGGTAATCAATATGGGCTGTAACTCTTGCGGTAATAGGACTGCCGCAATGAAGTCTTGACGATTGCCCAACATGCCCAAGCTGGCGATTGATTGGCCGTAACAGTGCGTCTGGTCTGAGCATACCTGAGACTCAGTGAAGGTTTTTTTGCATGAGAAGGCGTAATTGGAGAATTTAGTGCATGTAATTTGAAATGTTGTAGGCTCCCAGGTTGCACTACGGTGTGTGCTACCTTCTTCAGCGTGTCTTTTAGCAGTATCGAAGTTTCACAGCTGTTAACCAAGGAGGAAGATCGCTTTCACCTGAGCTGTCCCGGCTCGACAGGTAACCTTTTAGGCTCGTTATACTTACCTTCGTCCCCCATGTAGCCTCCTCGGCGTAGTGACCGAAGTCTGCGAACTAGTTACAGTATCGACGTGGACTTTGGTTTGCACATGCGATTCGGTGTCTCTTAGAGGTTCTCTATCTTAGGGGCCCGTCTTGTTGCTGAGCTTGCATGTGCAGTCGTTTCACTTTGCTGCTGACTCATCATTTGCCTCGCCTGGATTGTCCGAGTGTGAGAGCCGAAACCCTGCGTGCGAGAGTGAGTCCCTAAACCCTAAAATCGACCGGACAAAACCCTAACATCGACCAGGAAGGCGAGGCCAAGCGCAGCAACCCAATCGTTTGACTTCCCGATGACATGAGACGCGCAATGAGACGCAACGACGACCCACACTGCGTCCCCGCGCTGGAGTGCTGCAGTTCTCCAGCATTGCATAACACTGCTCTTGGTGTCGAGCCGCTGCAAAGTTGCCCCTCGGTCTCGCTCGCTGTGTCCCCTGCCCTGCATGGCACGAACGGGAAGTTGTCCTGTGTCGTCTTCTAAGCCTAAGTCCATTTCGAAGCTATCCGTTCGTTGTCGCGCTCTCGAAGCATGTCCCGAAGATCAGGTCCCTGCGCGGCCAGCATACCAGCTGAAGTGCGTGCACCCTGGTCAGATGTGAGGGTTCCGGCAAGGTTTCTCGAACGGTTCGAACGTGAGCCGGGCATATCAGTAGTACACAACTGCCACACACACAGCTAGGTGCATGCAAGTATGGAAGTGCGAGCTCGCTCCGTCAACAAAAACAGGGGTGTGTATGTTGCGCTGTGGATCCGGTTTGTTGTGGCAGCAAGTGGGTTGTCAAGAGTGGTTCCGGTCAGGGAACGCATTCGTAACCCAAGTTTGGAACAAATCCACTCCCGAAATTCTAAATCCGGTTGGGGCTGGTTCGTGTTTCACGGCAGGAAGCCCTGAGAGGAGCCCGGCTTCTGGTCCACCCTTGTTCGGACATCATCGTACACACGCACACACACTTCTTCGCCCGGTTCGTCGAAGCTGTGAGATGTTGACATGTCGTCATGGGACATGTCTCGATCTTGTGACCACACCCTCACCGCAAGAGCTCAGGTATGCCGAGGGGGTTGCGTTGAGCGCGTTGCCGGAAGTGTCACGCCCTCAGAGGAGAACAACAAGCGGAATGGTTTTCTTGTGAGGCTCTTGGTGCGAAGGGCAAAGTTGTGTTCGCGAGGCAGTTCGGCATTCGTAGTTAGTGAACCAGTTAGACAGTGCAGGAGACAAACATCTCAAGGATCGGGCAGGTCAACATTGTGATATGGGCTTTCGAAGTGAGACGCTGGGGCGGTCGCATGTTTTGATGGCTTATATTTTCGTGTTTCGGAGCATGGCATATGATTAATCTGCTTCCTGCCGGGTCGGTTGTGCTTTTGGAGCTGCTGTTGCCACGACTCCAACCACCACGACGGCGACGGCGATGATGATGATCGAATCATGATGGTGATGATGGTGATGATGCTGAAGATGAAGACTACCATTACAACTGACCCTGCCACACCCAAACCACCCATCATAGCTAAGCCCATAGCCTCCCATAGCTATCAGTTATGCCGGTGTGAAAATGCTTTGCAGGCTGCACACAGGTCAAGAGGTGCGTTTACGACGGTGCCCTTTCTCAGTCCGCGGTGTGTGGGAAGCAGCACAGCGAACATGCTGCACGCCTCAGTCTTGTGTGCATCATGGAAACATGGACAGGTTTGGAAGGCTGTTCCCCCGACAGATACCATTCAACCAATCGCGAATGTGCCAGAATCACTATTCCATACGCACATTGCTGGGCCCACCGCGCCGACCTTGGCCTTATCCTTACACTTCTCGTCTAGTGCAAATTCATACTTCTTGCGTTGGGTTTACTTTACTCTCCGCTGGTAGGTTGTGCTCGTCGTGCACACTAGTAGGATCTGAGGATTGCTGTTACCACCAGAGCTACTTCTACTTCTGCTCTGCGTCGCCGTGGTCATGGTCGTAGTTTTTGTATTCGGAGGGGGAGGAGGAGGAGGAGGAGGCGGAGCAGGAGGAGGAGGAGGACGCCGAAGACGATTCGAAGACGACGATGACGATCAGGACCAGGCAGGGCAGCAGGAGGAGGAGGCGGGGAACGATGACGAAAATAATTCCAGCGGACAACCATGATCGCGACCACTCCGACCAGTGCGACGGTCCTGCTCTTGCGAATCAACCCAGGCACCGCGCGGTGGCTGCCCAGAGCTCGGAGCTCGTGGTTGGCCGTATGGTGCAGGCAGCAGACTTTTGGGACGCTCTGGTGCCCGAGCCCCCCGGCTTTGGAGTGCAGGGTAGTGAATGTTCACACTTTTTGCGTGTTGCCCTGTGGCAGACAGGTTCGTGGTTTCAGGTTTGCAGATCTCGGCCGACTCTCCAAACCCGGATGCAAAAGGTTTGCAGATCTGTGACAATTTTTTGCGCTCTATTCGGCGCAGCTGCTCTTGTCTTCGAGCTTTCGATAGGATGGGCTTCTGGTTCATGGAGTTTGTGTTCAGAAGCCGTTGCATTTTTTGAAGGGGCACCCAGAACAGTCTTCAAGACGCCGGTGCACGCTAAGGAAAGACCTGCAGACCAGGCGGGTTCGGGAGAAGCTGACAACCTCAGCGGCGGCTAAGGAAGGTTTTTAGTGGGTCTCAGGCTTGCTGCTTGTGGCAGTAGGTGCATGTCGCTAGTCGATGAGGCTAACCAGCTAATCCGGGGGCCGCAGATCCCAATAGCCCCAAAAGCCGCAGCCGTACAATGCCTAAGCTTGCAGGGTGTCTCGGTATCACTTCAAGCTCTCCTGCCGGATGTCGTCTTTGGGGGGCGGCCTTTGCCAACCCGCGACCTGGTTGATTTCAGAAGGGCTAGCTGTTAGGGTACTGGGATTTAGTTAGGTGTTTAGGGGGGTTACGACTTTCCCAGCTGATGATCAGAGACTGGGTTGAAAAAGGGGGGTTACGACATGCAAGCCTGATGCAAAAGGGGTTGTGTATGTTACGCCGAGGCCTTGTTCGTGTGACGTGGCAGCAGTAGCTTCCCGGCTCTTCTGCCTTTGCGGTACTGGCATCGTGGTTCCGCTGTCTTGCGGTGGCTTTCTGCTCAGAACCTGTGCCATTGCCGGAAGTGGTAAGGGAGCCGAGTGCGAAGTTCCCTACGCTGCTGCGGCAGTGAGCCACGCCCAGAAAAAACCAGGGCCCACCAGGCCCTAGGCCCTACCCAGCCCGAAAGAACCTCTCGTCTGCTCGGATTCAGATTTGGTAGTCTCCGTTTTGTTTTTTTTTGCCTCAGCTGCCAAGCCCAGGAGCTGCTTGTCCCGAAATGGGCTCCTGGTGAACGGAAGCTATGTGGGACCAGATGCGGAGCAGCGGACGCTCCAAAGAACGAGACAAGTTTGGTAAGAGCAGCAGTAGCCGTAGGAGTAGTAG